CACAAAACTCCACATTTGACCTCAATAAAGGCAGAACCCTGGGTGTCCACATTCTCTCTCTCTCTCTCTCTCTCTCTCTCTCTCACACACACACACACACACACACACACACATACACATTGGCCTTCCAGGACTTGTGAGTAATAAACCTTGTTTTTTCAAAGCCCCTGATGCTTGTGCTGAGGACGTCTTATATAAGAACCACAGGGCCCGGACAGGTACACACTGGCTTGGAAAGGGGAACTGTCTGCGGGGGCCGCCACCAGAGTAGGGGCCCAGGTGGGTGCCCTGAGGCATTTGATCTGTCCCATCATCTATGGGCCAAGGCTGAGACCAAACAAAGACCTTGTGCACATTTCTTTACATTTCTTCAAAAGTTAAATCACAGGACCCAGCAAATGCATTTCTAGATCTTTATGCAAGAGAAATGAAAGCACACGTCTGCATAAAGACTTGCTCGTGAATGTTCACAGCAGCATTGTTCATTATCCATAACAGTCCCCAAACTGGAAACATAAATGTCCACCGATTGGTGAACAGATAAACAAAATGGGATGTATCCATATAATGGAGTATTACTCAGCCATAAAAAGAAACATATTACTGTGTCTACTAGAACTTGGATCGAACTCAAAAGCATTATGAGAAAGAGCCAGACATCAGACACCAGATTGTGTGATTCTGTTTAGACAGAACGCCTGGAAGAAGGCAGCTCTATAGAGGCAGAAAGTAGGTTAGTGGCTGCCTGGGGCTGGGTGGGACAGGGATTAACATAAAGGGACACAGGGGATCTTTATGGGGTGATGAAAATATCTTAAAACTGATTGATGATGGTGGTTGCACTACTGAGTTTATTTACTAAAAATTCTTGCACTGTAAACTTGGAGTACATTTTATGATATGTAAAATATTCCTCCAAAAAGTTGTGAAAAATCACCTGTGCAGAGCAATGTGGGACTCACAGACGGCACACCATGGTGCCCAGCTCGGTCCCTGCCCTGTCCTATGTGCTCCCGAGCTGTTAGCTCTTCATTTTCCCTCCTTCAGAGCTGTCTTTGACTCAGGACAATTCCAATGGGTAGGGTAAAGGTGACTGCAGGTGTTGACACATTTCAACTGAATTAATCTTCACAACCCTGTTAAGTGGGAAATGTTACCCCATTTTATTTTTTTTAAAGATTTATTTATGCATACAAGAGCTGGGGTGTAGGCCAGAGGCAGGGGGTGGGGGTGAGAGGATTCACCAGAGACAGAGTGGGGAGCAGAACAGGCAGATCTACTGAAAGTCACCGCTGAGGGGAGCAGCAGGCGAGACAGGAGAGGTCTGCTGCGCCATGTGGGTAGCTCAAACTCATGCTGCAGTGGCTGTGGATAGCTTCATAGTGTGCTGAGACCTTTTTTTTTTTAAATATTTTTAAATTTTATCTATTTTTTTACATCACTCTTCATTTTTGTACAATGTATGCTTTCTTATCTCAGTTATAGTCCCCGTGAGAGTCTCACCACCAATTCACCCGTGTACCATCACATAGTCCCTTGTGCTCTTCCCTCTCCTCTTTTGACCCTACTCCTCTCTCCCCCCTTGTAGAATGTCTCTGGTTTATAGTTGCCTGTTGATTTTGATATTTACTTTATTATACTTTTTTCCCCCCTGATCCCTTATCTGAATCCTCTACATTCCTTCCAAAAGTGAAACCATCCAGTATTTTTATTTTTCTTTCTGGCTTATTTCGCTGAGCATGATCCCTTCCAGCGCCATCCATGTTGCTGCAAATTGCCCGAGTTTATCTTTTTTGAATGCTGAGTAATATTCCATGGTGTGTATGTACCACATCTTCTTGATCCAGTCATCTATTTTGGGGCATGTGGGTTGTTCCCATAGCCTACCTATTGCAATTAGTGCTGCAATAAACATAGGGGTGCAGGTGTTCTATTGATTTATGTTTTTGTGTCCTTTGGGTAGATCCCTAGGAGTACAATTGCTAGATCATATGGAAGCTCTGTTTTTAGCATTTTCAAGTACCTCCAAACAACTTTCCATAGTGGTTGGACCAGTTTGCACTCCCACCAGCAGAGCAGGAGAGTTCCTTTGTTTTTTGAATATGTACCATTCTCCATAGTCCTGAGACTTAACCCCTTGCACCACCAGGGAGGCCCCTGATACCCCATTTTAAAGAAGGGGATAAGTGAGTCTCAGAAAAGCACCTGTAAATGACAGAGCCAGGGTTTGAACCCAGAGAGCAGCCAGCCTGGCCTTCATTCATCTGCTCACCCCTGCTCAGCACTGCCTCTTGGGTGGGTATGAGCACTTCAGCCTGAGTGTAAAACTTTGCTTCAGTGTGGCCTTGGGCAAGTTCCTTAACTTCTCTGTGTTCTGATCCTCCTCTGTACCCTGGAGATTGTCAAGATAAGACCAGGGCATGTGAATAAAATTCTTTGCAGTGGTCGGTAGGATTTCCTTAGGAGTGGAGGGCTTGGCTGACCCCCACCATCCGTCACTCTCCTGCTCCTAGGAAGGGCTGATGGGACCTTTGAAGATGGTGCCTCACTATAGGACCTGCGATACCTCGTACAGTTTGCCCTTCTGGAGGAGGGAAGGGCATTTGCTGCTGGTCTAGGTCTCTGTCACATCTATAGTCTAATGGCTGCCCTTTGTAGCCTTGGCCTACCCCTCCCTGGCTACCCACTCCTCATCCCTGTCGCCCTGACCTAGGGCCTGAGAGAGTAGAGCACCAGACATAGAAATAAAGACCTGACCCAGCCCCCAGTCCCTCACCCAGCGACCTGAGGCTGGGGTGGCGGCTAGGCCTTCTCGCAGCTAGAGAAGACATTCAAACACTTTGCACGTAGAGGCTCCATTGGGAGAGCTGCCTGTATGGCCAGGGTGGGAGCAACTGTGCTGCCCTGGCCTGCCCGTGATCCCCAGGGGCCTGAAGCAGCTGGCTTCTCTCAGAGTCTAATTGCCCGCCTACCCAGAGACCCAGCCAGGCCCTCACTGCGACAGTCATCATCTGTCTTTCTTGTCCTGGAGAGGGAGCAAAGGAAGGAAGATGGACAGGGAGTAAGCCAACCCTCAGTGCAGAGAGGGCTGTGCCTGGGGAATGTTCTGGAAATGACTCCAAGGAATCTGCTTGTGTTGGGAGAAGGAGCCTAGCTCTGGAGTCAGTTGCTGTTGTAGTCCTGACTCTGCTGCTTCCCAGAGGTTGCTCAAATTGAGGGGGCCTCTGTATTACTGTCTTTGAACTGGGTGTCCTATTAATCTCCTTCTCCCAGTGGAAGGGGGCAGCTCTGAGAGAGAGACCTGGAGACAGCTGGTGGGAAGATCAGCCTCTTCTTGAGCACTTTGTTCTATCACAGCACTGATGGTAGAACTGTGGCTTCCACGTCTGGTCTCCCTCTAACCTGGGGTTCTAAGAGGGCCCAACCTGGATCTGATTCATCTAGTGTCCTGGTGCCCTGCACATAGCATGGTACAGAGTTGGTGCTCCATGGCTGGTTGCTGAAGTGAATAAATGATGGTAAAAGTTTATCACCGAGTATTGATTTTTCTCTCCTCTCAGACTGCTATCAGGGCTATTTCTTGGCAAAATTGAGATTAATAAAGTTTGTATCAGATCCCTGCCCACTTTACTTTCCCTGTCCTATTCTCTCTTTATTTGGCATCATCTATGGTACTCTTATCATTAGTCAGATGTCAGGGAGAAAATGATCAGTGTAGCTAACTTATACTAAAGTGAAAATGACTGATAGGGCTGTCATTCTTTACATTTCTCTAATGGACAATCCCTTATCCAAAGGGACAAAAGCTAATGACCAACTGTAAATAGTTCAGTGCCCCTTTCCAGTCCCATATCCTGGGACTAATTTTTCCTTCATGTTCCCATATATCCAATGTAGGGTAGGGCAAATGGCCCTCCATTCTCTGCTTGAAACCTCCAGTAACAGGAAGCACAAGTGATGGGGAGCTCAATGCTTGTAAGACAGTCCATCCCATTGCTCTGACTAACCCATCAGTCCATTTTGCCCTTGTCTGTCTATGGAGCCAGAGTTAAATGGAGTAGCTCTGCCCCTTCCCCTAAATAAGACCTTTAGACTTGCTGCTTCCTGAACCTACCCCAAATGTACTTTCTTCCCTTCCAGTCTTTGCTCTTTTTCCTTCTCTCTGTGCCCTCTGCCTTCTGAGGTCACTTTCTGAGGCCATACCTTGCTCTTGGCTTATTTGTGGCGCGAATATGATGGACAACACCCTGAGCCCAATGTCCCTGTGATTCTTTCCAAGTCCAAGTTCTCAGAAGTTCTTAGAGGAATGGGTTTGGGGAATTCTGACTATCAGCATTAGTGAGATAATAACAGCCAATGTTCCTTGCATGCTCACTGTATGCTGGCACTCTTAGAAAGGGCCTTTTGTGAATGGCCTGGTAAAATCCTCATAGCAGTGTTTCTAATAGTCACTATCACTCTCCCACTTCCAGATGGGGGAACTCAGCCTCACAGAAGTTTTGCAGTGTCCCCAAGGTCAGTAGCTGAAAGTAACAGAGGCAGAATTTGAAACTTAGGTGGTCTGATTTCAGACCACCGTCCTCTGAATGCTGGGATCTGCTAGACATCTGATGCTGCCATCAATGAAGGTGTGCATGGGCGTGAACACACGCAGCACATTACACCACACATACACCACACTGCACACCTCCCATACACTACATCACACACGCCCCATATGCGTATACCATACATGCCGCACCCATATACATGCACACACACACACACACACACACACACACACATGCCTACCAATCATGCCCGTGCTCACATGCACCAAGGTCCTTCTGTCTGCTACAGTGGGCTGGACATAGCAGAGTAGGGAAACCTTACTTCAAATTGTCCGGCAAGAACCAACCATCTGTGGCTTTTGCCCACACAACTTGGATCCACACCCTGTGTTTATCTCAGGCTCATCTTTCAGTTCCAAATGTGCAAATGTTCCTCCCACTAGTACTTACTTGGTTTCTTCCTACTTATCCTTCAAGACTCAACTCAAACATCACCTCTTCCAAGAAGCCTTCCCAGCACTCTTCTGTAAGTACCTCCAGACCCCCCTAGCACTGGCCACATTGTCCCAAAGTTAGCTTCTCAAGGGTGGGGTGCCATGTCTGCTTCTCTTTTGCTCCCAACACCTAGAAAAGAGGCAGACACAAAATACATAATAAATTGTTGACTTTAGCTGTACCCTCTTGCCATGAAACATGGAGCTACCACTAAGCTTCTGCGCCATTGTTTCCCCGTCTTTGATTCGGGAATAATAAAAGCTGCCCCGATTTCCCTCATGTGGGTTTTAGATGTTCCTGGCCGAGCCTGAATTTGAAAGTCCTGTGTAAACAAGACCCGTGCGCGTGTAACACGTGGGGGTCGTGCAGAGGGTGAGTCTCCACACCAGGTACTCTGACCCGGTGTGAGTGTCCCGGGATCCCCGGACGGACATGTCCCCGCTTCTCCAGCCCAGGCTGAGCAACGCGCAGGGTGACGAGAGCCAATGGACTGGCTTCCAGGGCACAGCGGAGAGACCCCCAGATGGAAAGGGGGGTTGTTTGCATGAACAAAGCTTTGGAAGGCAACTGGCTTCAGCTTGGACAGAAAAGCAAACCCCACAGGGAAGCATTTTGCTCCCTCACAACGAGCTGGAGAAGAGCAAAGAACAAAGAAGAAAACAGAAAGAGCGACTCTCTCTGTGGCCCCAGCATCCCCAAGCAAAGGCTCACGCACGCGCGACAAGAGGGCTGTGAATTTCTGAAGGATCAAGGAGCTCTTTCCAGTCCGAGATATCTCCACAGGGGACTCGCGGTCACATAGGAGGAGCCGACAGGCTCTGATGCCAGACTCCCCTAACCTCGTGGACAGGGTGTCCTAGGATGGCTGAGCTGGGAGCAGCGCCCCTGCCCTCGAGCCCAGTGAGCCGCCTGCTCCAGGGAGGGGTCACCCCCGCCCTTTGTCCAGAGCCCTCCCCAACACACCACCTCCCCCCCAGGGCTGGTCCTGAGAGTTACTGGTGGAATAAAATTCCATTTCATCCATGACTGAGGAAATAAGGTGCACGTCGAAGTTCTTTCTAAACGTCAGCTCCGTGGATCCTTATGAACAAGCGGCAAACGCCTAGTACCATCACCCCGGTTTTACAGATGAGCAAACTGAGACTGAGGGAGCCTCCACAGCTGGGGGTGACGAAGCTGGGGTTCTAATACGGGCTCCAGCGTGAGGAGAGGTCTGCTCCTGCCAACACCAGAGGGGTGGACAGGTCAGGCTGCCAGCCCTGCCAGCTGTGGGGCAGCCGTGTATAGTTACCCCTCGGCAGGTCTGCATGAGTTTGGACTTCAGGGTGGAGCCTGTAGAGACCTCATTTCCCAGGAGAGGAAGCGGGGGAGCCCCTAAGTAGGCAATGGGTGACCCAGCATGCTATGAGCATGGGCTTGACCAGAGCAGTGAGGACCCGAGGGAAGCCTCACTGCTGAGACAGCTGGACATCTGGTGGAGACTCAACGGGCTCATGGGTGGGGACAGCCTTAGTTCTGTCTGGCTTCTCTGAGCTCCTGTCCTGTGCTGCCTTCCCTGGCCCCAGGGCCCGACACACTAGGTTTCCTCAGCCAGCATTGTTCTTCCTGCCTCCAGGGCCCCCAGCCTCTCACCCAATCACCCTGCCCTGCCTTTTCCACATAGACTGCTCCTTCCATCTCAGCTCTGCCAACATCTCACCATCTCTGGGAGTGGTTCTCAACCCCCAGACTAAGTCGGCCCCACTTGTGATTCTCAGTGTGTCCGGCATACCCTGCTTCATCTCACCTGTAATTAAATGAATCATGGTGTTGTAATTTCTTAAATAGCTTTCTTGAACTGCACATGTTTAAAGTGTAAAACCTGATAAGTTTTGACGTATATGCTCGTCCGTTAAACCATCATTGCAGTCACAATAACGAGCATAGCCATCTCCCCTAAAAGGTCATCTCCTGACCCTCAGTAATTTCTCTCTCCCTCTCAAATCCTCATCCCATCTGGTCAGCAATTGACTTGCTTTCTGGTTGGCATTTTCCAGAATTTCTAGAATTCTCTCCAGTATTGACAACTTTTGTCTGGCTTCTTGCATGTGGCATACTGGTTTTGAGATTCATCCACACGGTTGTCTATATCAGTAGTTCCTCTTTATTGCAGAGTATTGTATTGTCTGGCTAGATCATAATTTGTATAGCTTCTTTCCCTCTTTCCTGCCCCCTCTCCCAGAGAGTGGGCTCATGTTTGCAAAGGGCATCAAATTTAGACAGTTATTTCCCAGTGGGGTTTTACATCAGTCATTGGACATGGGTAGGTGGCAAAAGTATTCATTAGTTAAAAGCAAATGTTCAATATAGGACACATTTTGTATACCTGCTTTGCCATCATCTTTACTTTTTTTTTTTTTGTGGAACCCTCGCCGGTGGCCAGGGATCGAACTGGCGCTGCAGAGGCTGTGGGCAGCCTCACAACCCAGAGCTCAACCTCTGCGCCACCAGGGGAGGCCTGCCATCATCTTTACTTTTAATATATCATAGGCCTCAACAGCAGGATCTATCAAAGCTTCAGGCCAGAAAGCTTCAGCTTTCTAGGACTGAAGGTGGGGGAATGAGGACTTCGTCACCTCCTGAGACGCCCCTACCTCCATCCTTTTCCCAAGGCCCAGCAGCCCCAGCTCTGCTGAGGGCCCAGGAGACTTTCAAAAGGCAGATTTGAGCTCAAGGATGGTGAGAGAGCCAGCCCCTGCAGCCTGCCCAGACGTGGCGATCACTCCAACTCCAGATAAACACAAGGCAGAAGCAATGGATCCCATTTTGCTGTTGAAGAAAGCAACGTGGAGATGAATGCTGTGGTGCTCGGTGCTAGTCCTGTTTTGTGAGCACCTGGAAGGATTGTTCTTCCTGGCCCCTTGCCATTGAGTGAGGTCACATCTTCTCTGACCAATGAATTGGAAGCCGAAGTTGTGTGGTGTGTGTCATTTCCAGGCTAGAGGACTTAGCTGTAGATATAATACACGGCCTTCCAGAACATTCTTTCCTTCTGCCATTGTAACCAGCAATGTGTGACAGGATCATCCGATCAGCCTGTGTTCCTGGGTGAGAGTGAAGTGAGCAGAGTGGCCCACTGGCCCGTGATGGCCACATAGTGAGAGTGAGAACTTGGCCTCTGTGGTTATAGGCCACTAAGATGTCAGGTTAGTAGTTACTGCAGCATTATCAGGCCTATCCTGACAGGTACAGAAGAAAGTCGATGTGCCATTTGCAGGGCATGAAATATCTCACTCTATCCTTACAACCTTTCCAAAAAGGAAGGGTGTAGCCGCCATTACTTGCCTGAGGACAAGACTACAAGTGGAGAAGAAATCAGTGCCCCCAACGTCAGTCAACTGAACAAGGATTTGAACACAGACTGTGCTCTTCCCAACAGTCTACACAGTCAGAATTGCCCAACAATCAGCTCAATGGTTTTCCATGTCTAGGGCCTGACTGTCTGGGGGTCAGCTCTTTGGAGTTGACCTCAGGGAGTGGAGAGATCCTCAGACTGGACACCAGCCAGGCTGTCCTTGGGTCCTGTCCCTGGACACTTCCTTCCCCATGCACGAACGTGTTCCGATGCCAGTGTTTACAAGTGTTTACTCCTGTGACTTTTTGTTACGGCAAAAGCATCTGATGAAGACCAGCCAAGAAAGAGGAAAAGCTCCATAAACCAGGGAAGGGAGGGAAATGAGAGGCAGGGGGTCAGGCTGTGGAGGATAAGGTGGGTGCCACCATGGAAGGACTGATGTGGAGGGAGGGGTGAGCATGAGCAAGTTCAGAGTGAACAGTATTAATGAGAATAGCAGTAGTCACCACCTAGGGAGCACCTGTTATGTGCCAGGCACTGTGCTACAGGCACTTCCTCTATGACATCACTTCCTGTGAACCACTGCCCTCTGAAGTCACCATTATTAGCCACATGCCACACACAAGGAAACTGATACGCAGAGAACTGAAGGAATTTGCTGAAGTTTACATGATGAGGGAGGAGCAGGGCCAGGATTTGAATTTATCCCTGTGTGTTCCAAAGCCCATGATTTTAGCCCATTACACACTCTGTCCTGTGGAAGGATAGATGTGCATCAGTGATGGTGCACAGAGCGGAGGGTGCCCTTCTTCAGGTGGAGGCAGCCCAGCTGGACAAGCAGAAGTGCCTTTGTGTGGATGGGAAAATGTACCACCTGGCAAGCGGAGGGCAGAATGAAGTTTTGCTTCCAAAAGCGAACACAATTTCTACTTGCTTCTGGGAGACTTTGGAACATTCACTATGTCTCCTTTTCATTTGATCTGAAAATTAAGAAAAATATTCATGGGCAAGTCCAATTTCACATGCTTCATCCCAGGTCTCTCAGCTAGAGGAAATAACAATCTAGAGATTATAAAAGGACAGTGGGATGGCAGCCAGGCAGGAAGCCTGGAGGGATGAGGGGAGACGATGCTGCCCATTGGGAAGGAAATAAACAGAGACAGCACTCTAGACTCTGGGGAGGAGTGTGGGTCACCTGCAATGAGAGGGAGAGAACACCCACTTCTTATGGCAGAGTACTGTGGCCCAGAAGATGAGGCAGGCATGACAGGAGCTAGCAAAGGTAGGTCTAGAGGGTCAGAGGAAGAAGGAGGTATCTGGGTACAGAAATAAGTGGACCAGGTTGGGGTCCTCTGTGAATATCCATTTTCCACTTATTGAAGAGATAGGCCTTTCTTCATTGTACATTCTTGTTGTGAATTAATTGACCAAATATGTGGGGGTTTACTTCTAGACTCTTCTGTTCCCCTGATCAAGGCATCTGTCTTTATGCAGCACCATACTATTTTGATTACTATGGTTTTGCACTATAGTTTGAGCCCAGGAAGTACAATACTTCTGGCTTTCTTCTTCTTTCTTAAGATTGCTTTGGCTGTTCAGTGTCTTTTGTGGTTCCATACAAATTTTAGTAGTTTTCTCTATTTCTGTGAAAAATGTCATTTTGATAGGGATCACATTTAATCTGTAGATTGATTCCACTGGTCATCAGGGAAATGCAAATCAAAACCACCATGAGATACCACCTCACACTTGCTAGAATGTCTATTATCAAAAAGGACAAGACATAACAAGCGTTGGTGAGGATGTGGAGAAAAGGGAACCCTAGTGCATGTTGGTGAGAATGTAAATTGGTACAGCTACTACGGGGGAATTCCTCAACAAATTAAAAATAGAGCTACTATAAACTACCATATCATCCAGTGATCTCATTTTCAGGTATCTATCTGAAAGAAATGAAAATAAGATCTTAAAGAAATACTTCCACTGCTGTGTTCATTGCATCATTATGCACAGCAGTCAAGATACGGAAACCACCAAAGTGTCCATCAACAGCTGAATGAATTAAGGAGCAGGGTGGTAGAGCTTCTCGATGCTACTCAGTCATGAGGAAGAAGGGAGTCTCGCCCAGTGTAACAACCCCGATGAAACTTGAGGGCCTTGGACTAGGTGAAATAATGCAGAGAAAGACAGATTGTGAGTTATCCCTTAAATGCAAAATCTGAACAAACAAAAGTTAAACGCACAGAAACAGAATAGAAAGATGCTTGCCAGGAGGTGTGAGAGAGAGGGGGTTGGAGAGATGGGAAGCAATTGGTAACAGGGACAAACTTTCAGCTATAGGATGAACAAGGTCTGAGGAGCTAATGTGCAACAGGGTAACTAGAGATGATAACCTCTATTGCACAGCTTTGAATTTTGCTGAGAGTAGAACTTAAAAGTTCTCCGTAAGTAAATAAATAAAACCAACTAGATGGAGAGAATTCTTCCACTGTGTATCCTCTATCAAATTGCCACCTCATGCACTTTAAATATCTTACAGATTTTATTTGCCAGTCATACCTTGATAAAACTAATACAATGAAAAAAAATGAGAGCACTTTGTATACTAACTGTATCTCAATAAAGTGAGTGAAGAGCCTCATATGTATGTGCGTGTGTGAGCATGAGCAGGTGTGTGTACGTGTGTACATACATATGCACGTGTAGTAGACGCTGTTATCTTCCTTTTCAGGAGGGGAAACTGAGAAACTGGTGCATCAAGAGGTTGAGAGGCTCCTGCAAGGTGTCCTGGTCCCCACTGAGTTTGCGCCGGTGGACGTGTCCAGGTGACTGAGCTGTGGCAGCAGGCATGATGGCAGTCGCCCAGGAAGGGCCTCGCATCTTCTGCCGGGGTCGGGAGGGACCCACGAGTCACTTGGATGGGACCACCCACAAAGGGCCCCTGGCTGAGGCTGTGAGGTGCTCTGGGAGCAATGGAGAGTTTCCAGGGACACAGAGCCTGTGCCGGGAGATGTGGCTTTATGTTATTTATTGAAGCGAGGATCGCGTGGTACCATGGGCCACTGAGTGTTGTGCACACAGCCACTCCAAGGGCGAGTACCACTGCTCCCGCACATGATGGAGGCGGGACGGGCTTAGGTGACTAGCCCCAGATCAGCAGCTCTTCTGTTAGCCTTCTGATGGCGGGGGAGGGGCCAGGGCCCTAGATGATCCTGGGCCCAGAAGGCCTCTGAGACCCTTGGACCCCAATCTGGGTTAGGCCGCACCCCTCCGGTCACCCAGGCTCTGGGACAGCAGTCCCTGCCCACCTGGGAGTACGGTGGAGGAGGCTCTCCCGGTGTCTCCAGGGCACCCGGGTGCTGGGGCTCTTCTTCGCACAAGATGGCCAGCGTCTTGCCCTGGGAGAATGACTGCCCTGTAGACCATGGGCACCGGGGCTTTTGTGCTCAGACTTGGGTTTGAGTCTTGGACTTGTTTCTGAGTTGAGGGGGTGACCCACTGGTCATCCCTATCCCTCTTTCAACCTCAGATTCCTGGCTATGAAACCAGGGTCATCAAACAGAGTAATCAAAGGTCCCGCAGCCTCTGATGCTCTGTGGCCCCAGAGCATGGTGGGCACAGAGGCAGGGACAAGTTGGGAAGGCTGGCTTTGTTAGCCCACCCTGAACTTGGGAACTAGCCAGACTTAGGCTTTATAAATTTGCATTTCCTTGGCTCACCCCTCCCCCCTGCTCTCCACCCCCCACCACCTGCCCACCCCCAGCAGCCTCCGAGGCCTATCCAGGCTGCTGCTAAGAGGGTCGCTCTCCCTGGCTCCTGTCAGCCCAGGGAAGGCTCGCCCTGGGGGAGCCCTCCCTCCATGATGGCTATTTTTAAAGAGCTTCTCTCTCCCCCAGGTTTTCCAGTTTTCTGATGTTGGCTGTTTTCTCCCACTGCCTGGACAAAGCGGGTGGGGTTTCAGAGAATTAAGTGGAGATGTGGCTGTGTGACCCTTCATTAATGCCCTCGCCACACAGCACGGGCCTTGGAGACCACACTGGGATTTGTTCCTATGTTTAATTCATGTTCCAGGGGCTTGACTTCCGTGATACATTTGTCTCCAGAATGAGGGAAAAGACCTAGGCAGAGAGAGGTGGGGTTGGGGAGGGGGAGAGGCAGAGAGAGAGAGAGAGAGAGAGAGAGAGAGAGAGAGAGAGAGAGAGAGAAACTCACAGAGGGAGACATGGAGAGAAGAGGCTCTCTGAGTGAGTTCTCTAAACTTGGAGGCACCCAGACAAGCGAGACCTCGAGGCGAGAGACAGAGACTGATGCGAGTGAGCTGTGTGCAGAGGCCTGAGGTGGGCACATCCCTGGAGTGAATCTTGGCTTTTTTTTACTAGTGTCTGACCTTGGATATAAATAAGTAATCGAATTTTTGTGAGCATTCAAGTCTAAGGTATATATTTCCCAGAACAGTGTCTGGCATATAGTTGGCACTTAATAAATGTTCCTTCTGGAGATACTTTGCTATCATCTCTCTGTTCAGTCAGATGCTTGCCCTTTGGGGCCAGGGTCTGAGCCTTATTTGTCTTGGGACCAGGCCCGGAGAATGCCCCAGAGAATGCTCGCAGGAGCATCAGCCTGCAGATGAGTCAGGCAGCCATGCAGGGGTGCTAACCTGGATGGAGCAGCCGTGGCTCCTGGAGAGGGCTGTGTGCAGTGATCCACATCCCTTTTCTACCTGTGGCCCAGCCCCCTGCTTGTCCCCAGATGTGTACTCCAGAACCTCTGTCCCTCCATTTGGCTTCCTGAGCTGGCAGTCCAGTTGCCATGGAAACCAGTGGTTTCACAGAGGACAAAGCACTGGGAGACTCAGCGATGGACAGAAACTCACAAACACATTATGTAGAATAAAAGACAGTCGGGGAGGCTGGGGGTGCAATCAAGGTTTCATTGCTACTTGTTTAGGGAAAAAAAGCCTTCACAAGCCCTAGCTAGAAAAGGGATTGTGGCCATATTTATAGGTTTTATTTTCTTCTGGATGACTTTTTATTTTCTCGTGAAGCAAACCACAGTCCAGGAGTGCTGCTAACTCTGCAGTCTGTTGTCCAGCTCAAATGTCCTGCCATTCAATCATCTCCTTGCTCAGAGTAACTGCAACTTACTGGGTGCACTGAAATGTACATGCCTAACCGACCCTGCTTCTGTGCTCTCATGTCATAGCAAAGTGGGGCCAGTTGGAAGCAGGGACACTGTCCTCTCCACCTCTCCAAGAACTGTCATCCTTTTGCCAATGGCAGTCTTCTTGGGTTTATTTGGTTTCTTACTTTAAAATCCTGAAATGTGGGAGGCTTCCACTTCTAGCCAAGAAAGAGTAAGGAAGTCCAGAATTGCCCTCGCCTTGAAAGCATCACAAAACTGAACAAAACATCCAAAGCAACTGTTTTCAAACTTTAGACAAGCAGAGCAAGGAAAGCCAGGC